AAAGTTCCTAGTTGTCGCAGAATTTACTAATAAACTATATTGTTTGCTTCTAAGAGAGTTTCTTTGTTTTATACAAATACTTCTTTTTTCCTATAAGAGTTTTGGCCGTTTGATAACTTGTTTTTGTAAAATTTGGAGTTTTTACTAAGTTCTAAATTTGGACCGGAGGATCAGCAGAAAGAGTTGATATTATTTGAGTGCATTAAAACTATAATTTTTATATATATAATTTTTAAAACTATAAAATTAAACCTAATCAAGATAATACACAAATGACAAAACTTATTGAGTGACCAACGTAATTCTGGTATAATTTGTTGATAATCGCACTGCCGCACATTTTGTGTATCAAGATTCAATCATTTATTTACAGGAAATTTCAGAAGTTTTTTTAAAGCTTTAACCAATATTTCTTGATGAATACTTAACTAATTTCAGCGAATTTTTTTATTTATATTAATTCTATAAGCTAATAGAATTAAAATAAAAAAAATTCATCAAATTTAGCTAGATAGTAGTTGGAAAAACTTCGTTTAAAATTTGAAAAAACAGTTAAAAATCAAAAAGCCTTACTTTTTTTCAATTTTATACGAAGAATTTCAATGATCATCTAACCAAATTTGATGAAAATTATTTTATTTATTCTATGTGTTTGTAGAACCAAAATAAAAAAATTTATTAACTTGATTATGTAGTTGCTGAGAAATATTTATTCATTATTTAAAAAAAAAATTTGACGCTGCTTCTTTTTTGGACTAAAACTTTAAGCAAAGTTTTCTTGATAAATATCAGACCAAATTCGATAAAACTTTTTTTATTTTAATTATATTTAAAAACCTTTGCTTAATAAATTTTAGTATCCATAAAAAAAGCCATAGCAAATCTTTTTCTTAGTAACTACGTTACCAAATTTAATAATTTTTTTTATTTCGACATGTAGAGTTAAAATAAAAAACTTTTCATCAAATTTGATCATGTCATTATCTAGAAATTTCGGTTTAAAGTTAAAAAAAATTTTTTTGAGTCCAAGAATAAGAAGAAGAAATTTCTTTTTAAGATTTCTTGGTGAAAAAAATGATCAAATTCAATGAAAAATTTTTTTATTTAATTTTGCGCATTTGTAGATTCAAAAAAACTAATTGAATTTGCTATGTAGTAATGAGAAATTTTATTTAAAGTTTAAAAAAATTTTGCTGCAGCTTCTTTTTATAGGACTAAAACTTTAAGAAAGTTTTTCAATGAATATCTAATCAAATTCTATGAATTTTTTAATTTAATTTGTAATTCTGTATAATCAATATAAAAAATTTTATTGAATTAACTAGATTTAAAATAAAGATTTATAGATTGATAAAGGAGGCAAGATTTGTATATAGTTGAGTGTGGATTTGAGTAAGAATTTAAGTTTTATATATAATATTTATTAAATTTTTGATGATATTATAAATATCTGTGAAGTCGGAGTCAAAAAAGTTCTGTTTGAAATATTAAAATTAATAGAGCAGTTTTTAAGTATATAGATATTATTTATAATATTTTGTCTATATTTATTTGAGTAGAGGTGGGGAGAATAAAATAGTAATTCTATAGTTGGCAAATTAATAAGATCTTGTGTTTAAGAAGAGATTTATAAGATCTAAGTAGATTTGGGGCTATATATCAGTTATAGTTTGGTTTTTTACTTGATTTTTTTAGCTGATTATACTATGAAAATGAACCTACTTTTGATGATTTGAATAAAATAATGAAGTTATATAAGGGCAATGACATTTATTACGTAATATTCTAGGGGTGGTGTTAAGCACGTTGAGAACGTGGTATTTAAAATCTTTTATGCTAAACTAAACACTAAACTAATTCGACTAGAACAACTCAATCTATGCTTCAAGACTCCTAAAATCTTGATTTGGAAGGTGAAAGGAGGCGTGGAAAGACTTGGTCTGAGTTTCAAGATCTTTCGGGCCTTGGAATATCTTATATAACCTTAGATATGACTTATCTATCCTTTTAATATTTGGTTGCTTTGATTATATTCAATACTTTAACTCTATGCTTCTATGTCTTTTGATTTTAGAACACTTCAGTCTTTTCAGTCACGTGTTGTGTCACTTGTATAACTGCGGCACTTGGAAGTTTAATGTCTTTGAATCTAAGATCTACATCACAGGAAATTATAATATCAGAAATCAGATCCGATGATGTCTAGGTCACGAGAAATTTCAATGATCAATTAACGTTAATTGTTTGATCAATTAATTGATTGTTATCTTAATTAGTGATAACAATGCGTCACAGGAAGAATAAGAGTTTGATAAGTATAGCTTCGTTATATTAAAAGGGTTTTAAGACTTTCAATGCTCTCTTTCTTATATTAATAATAAAATAAAATTGTTTATGGCAGAGTCACGAGGACAAGGAATTTTGAGCGATAAGTAATTGAGTCTTAATATATATTTTTATGGAAACGAACTGGGACTAACACTTCTACTCAAATTTCGACAGTGTTAATGAATATTTTTCTTTCACTTAGTCTCAGGTTTTTATAAATGATTACTACTATAGGACTATTGGGACAGAAATCAGGTTACAGAAACGATTTGGGTCAAAAGGGAAAAGAATTTAAAGGAACAACTTCTACTAAGATAATTTCGAAGTTTCAAAACTCTGACTGAGTTATCTTTATTTAAGACGAATTAGAAGCTCTTATATAGAGAATTTTACAGACTAGAAAGTAAGCAATTTGCTCTCTTACTTTGCTTACTTTGCTTACTTCCCTTACTTCTCTAACTTCGCTCTCTTTTACTAACTAATTTTAACTAAAAAGGAAATTCTAATCATCATTACTCAAAATATACATATAATAAGAAATAGAAATAGATGGCCTTCACAGCCTGACTTTGGAAATGTGACACTAATTTAGACCATCACAACGTACTATACCAATATCTTACGTTATACAAAGAAATTAGTATAATCATAAACTGGCCAATCATATTTGATTTTATGTGGGGGAGGAGAGGAGAAGCTCTCATAGTAAATGGATATTATGTAATAAATGTCAGCGCCCTAATATTATTAAAGAAACTCTAAGAATATCTCATAATTTAATAGTTGATGTGTAGACAAGTATCTTTTTAATCCTTACTATAAATTTGCAGATATATGTCAAGTTCTAAATGGTAATTTTTTGATTAGGGTAGTGACAGATATTACGTAATATTTTTTTACCATACCCTCTACCCCTCCCCCTATGTAAGAGAAATTTGATTGGCTATTATAAAGTTATATTTCTACGTAAGAAAATCAGAGACCCCCTCTAATAATACCTGACGAATGACGAAACATTTTGTCAAGCTATTTCTGAATGACTAATTTACGAATGGCGAAACCTATGACGAATGATGAGATGATGATGATTGATGAAGCATATAATATCCTTATTTTCTTTCATAATATAAATAAATCAGTATATATAACATTAATTTTTTTCTTTTTGCATTATTTTATCTACGCATTTTTCAATTTTTTATATGACATATTTAGCCGAAATTACCCGAAGAAAGCTTTACCTCTCGAAAGAGCCCGATTGGCCGACGTAGAAGACCAATAAAATAAAATAAACATCGTTACAATGATTAACATTAAATTGAAAAATAATTAAAGGTTTAGTACATTCGTAGTTCATTGTAAAGTAGCTCATCGAAAAAAATCTCTATTTGATTAATGGAATCATCAAGGGCTTCATGATCTGGCAAGAAAACAGTTCATTATCAATTAAATTTACAGTGTTTTTGACATTGACGAGCGAAACTTTGAATTATAATTTTGAAAAATCTTAACACTCTGTATCTAAAGTTTTTTGCAAAGAAGCTCGTTGAAAGAGAGTTAGCTGTATTGTAATTTTTCACTGGTCAAATTGATTCATCAAGGGTTTTATCAATCGTCATGAGTTTCGTCAATCGCTAAGGTTTCGTCAAACAAGTATGTTGACGAAACCATTTCGTCATTGAGAAATAGTTTCGTCAGGAATCATTAACCCCCTCCCCCCCTCAGAATATTACGTATTATTTAATACTTTACTATGATCAGTTTATAAAATAAATCAATTATTTTATGGTATTTTTAAATGATAAAATAATTGAGCTATTTCATAAATCTGAGATAGTAAAGCATAAAATAAAACCGTTATTGCATGCTCCGTATGCACTAACTGCTGTATTTTATGTTCTCTTCTGATCGTTCGGTAAACCAGCCGTACCGGCTGGGTTACCAACCAATCATCATCGTCCATAAAATACAGCAGTTATTGCATACTTCGTATGCAATAACTATATAATATCTGTTATTACCCTTATTAGTTTCTTAATTTTAATCCATAATTATTCTCTCATATTTTTCTAATTATTTGAATCATAGGTCGCATAATCTACTTAAACTTATCGAATAAATCATGATAATAGTTGCAAAATTGCACTGACAACATATCGATATTTTAGATTTTAGTTTAGAACTATTTATTTTTAGCCAATTAAATGTTTTGGAGTGGACCAATTGTCAGCGAAGTAATTTATTAGAAAAGTATTTTGACTATTCATGCATTTTCATTTCAATAGAACTTTTCACTGGAATCACCGTAACTCTAAAAAATTTGGACGTCAGTCGGGTTCCATTTCAGTCCAACAAAATCGACAACAGATAGGTTAGCTATGCAAAATAAAAAGTGTAATAATAGAAAAATAGGTTTAAATCGCGAATTCTTTAGCATTGTTTGTTTGTTTTAAATTAAATTGAAACCACAAGTCTGATCCATTTCTTTAAAAATAAATTCATGGATTTAATTTTGATTAAATCTTAACTAAAAAAGAGTAGCCTTTAGAGTTTTAAAAAGTTTATGATTAAAAGTAATAGCACAGAAAAAAATGAAATATAGTGTGATGAAAATGATATCGAATTAACAGCAAAAAAAGTCATCGGAGTTCATATTTACTTTTGTAGTCAATAAAAATTGGAACTATTGCTTTCCTTTGAAAATTCACGGGTTACTATAAATTCATTTATGCCTTCTTGTTTTTGTGTGTCTTCTTTATGAAAGTTTTTACAGTTTTTATTGTCTATAGTAAAAATAAGATCATTTTGTTTAAATTGATCCTCTTCAAGTTTTGCAAAATATTTTTCAAAATTATTAATATCATTAAAAGATATTTTTAATATATGTGCCATTTTAGGGCATTGCTTTATCAATTTTGTGACCCAACCCTTACAGGCAAATTTAAAATCTACTACCTGTGTAATTTCTATAGTAAACCCATTCACTGTGTTTGAAATTTCCCATTTGCCAGTATGATTACCTGGAATAAAGGTACTTGTATAGCTACCACCTTCATGAGAGTATGACCAGCGATCTCCAGTTGTCCAACATCCATCGAGTTTCATCCCCCACACATATGCCATTTTTTCGATAATAAGTGCATTCTTTGTGTCATAACTACCTCCCACTTGGATTCCAGTTCCACTGACTTGTCCTTTAATTCCTTTGTTTTTTTCATGAACTGTTGAAATCTTAATGGACTGATTGGATTGTTGTGGCTGTGTATCAATCTTCTTTATTATCATGCAAGATGTACTATTGCATGAAATTGGAGAGATTTTAACTACAACAGAATCGAGAAAATAATCAGAACCAGATTTATGAAGCGATGATATTCTTTCACTAAGCATTCTTCCCATTCCACATTCCCTTATATCAACAGAAAACTCTAAAACCTTTGAATCTTTCTTAGGGGTAATATTTGCATAGATAACAGCTCTTATACAGAAATTTTGAAAAATTTCTGAATTTTCTTTACTAACAGCTTGACTTGTTGATCTAACTGAAATATTTTTAGATTTATTGGTTATGCTCCCATTCTCATCTCCTCCATCACCACCGTTATTATTCTTATTGTCTTCGCCATCATCTCCATTACCATTTTCATCATCCTCACCACTGTTTTCTTTTTCATTAGTTCCATCACCATTTTCTTTATAGTTATTATCATCTTCCTTCTCTTCAGATTCCTTCTCATTTCCAGAAAATGAACTGACTGTTATATTGTTATCAAACTCCTTGGTGATACTATTGCAGTTCAGTGAACTGTTTTGATTATTACTATTACTCACATCAGTATTCGTATGTGCCACCATATTTTCTATAATTTCAAACTTATCATGGAACAAGCCTAATAGCTGCTTTTTGATAACAATGTCGAGGTTCTCAGTGACCCAGCAAGCGATGCATGGTTTAGAATAACCTTTCTGAAAATCGACACCCACCGCGTATACATTTTGCGAATCTAATATACTATCAATGTTAGCTTTTTGCTCTTCAAGCAATGCAAGTAGTTGATCGACTTCAACATGTGCAGTAGCAGATGTTCCTGGAGTGAAAGTTGAATCTATTGAAATAAACTCTGAAACAGCTGAGAGATCAATGTTACTCCTAATGACAGGCTTAGGAAACTGGATGTCGCTTAAATCATTACTGTTTGTGGTCGTATCGGTTTTAACTAAGTTAATTGATGGTTTTTTAAAAATGGTTTGCTGTTGTTCCTCTTTACAATTTTCCTTTTTATCTAATATTTTATGATAATTATTTAATTTATATGAATCACATCTTTTCCGAGTAATTATGATCAAATTAGGACTAGTGGTTGCATCGAAATCATCTATGTTCAGTCCCAATGTGTGAGGAAGATTGTTCATATCTCCACGAAAATCAGAAATTGTAATTTGATCTAATTTTTCACATTGTGAAATAGCAATCAAAGGATTTACCGAAATCCTTGTAAAATCTATTTCATTCAATTCTAAGTATTTTAATTCTTTTTGTAAATTTAGTACCTCAATGTATCTTTGGGCACTAGCGGTGCAACATTTTAATGTAAATTTTAATAGTTTTTGTTCTCTAATAAGTTTACTTAATAACATTATAATTTGTTCATCACTGTCATTTTTTTCGACAAGGTT